CAACTGGTTCAACCTTCAGAACATCCGTAATTTGGACTCCATTTTAAAATCTAGCCTTAATACGTGCGATGCGAAAGACTGAAATATTTGAAGTGAGGACAGATATTGGCAGACTAACTATGACTCCCACGCAACTCTTATTATGCAAAAATACGCTTATGGACCACTATAATCGAGTTGAAACCTCAAGTGTAGTTTTCACGGCTGGCCAACATTAACTGCTGACGTTCCGATCGAAATCTGGAAAAAAAAAACAACAACAACGACAACAAAAAAAGGCAGAAAGAAAAAATCAGATCAAATGATCGCAAGAGTGTACGTGATCAATTTAAGACTGGGTGAGAGGGACCGGATGGGACAAGTTTTGTTTAAGCTTGAGAAAACTTTTCCGGAATGTCGTTGGCAAAGATACCTCGTAGGGTATTTACATTTGGTGACTCGATGCTACTAGTTTTTCAACACACGATCTTTGCCCATTCTAGAGCTACTTAGCCTGGAGGAGAAATAAAGGAGTTTCTTTAGACACTATCGAAATGCATAAACTGTTAAACAAACCTTTCTCTAATTGGCTTTTAAAAAAGGTATGCTGGGAAGATAGTTTTTTAGGTCTTGCATCCGTTATCTTTTTGTACAAAGCCACCAGGAAAAAATGTTTACTTCAGTAGTCAGTTGCGTGCTTGGTTGGCATACCAAACGTTGCAACTTTTCAAATGTAAAACGCTTCGTTATCATGCTAACTAGATACTGGTCTCTATCACAACAAGGTCACCTTCAGCTTCTCTACAAATAAAAGGCTTGGAAACCAACTACACAACTGTAAAATGGCTCATTAGCTGTACTGTAATCTGATTGGCCAATTTTCCATTGTTCATAAGAGCACAGACAACACTTTTATCCACAACGGTAATCACAAGGGTCGAAATATGTTTCCGACTCATTCGATTGCGCCTCGTGAGCCCGCAATAATTCTACCGCTTTGATGACGAACATTGTTGTCGATACTAGTACAGACAACGCTAAAAAGGGATTTTTTGGAAAAAAGTTGACTTCGATTGAAGATGAACTAGCATGCTATTGTTGATGTTATTGTTGGTGTTCAAGTCGTCGGTGGTAATGTACAATTTTAGGACAGTTTGAATGATTTCGCTGTCAGTTGTTAATCCAAAGCAAAAATATTACGATTACTAGTGTTACTGAAATTTGCACGTCAATGTTCTTCACTGCCGGCCAATTGATTTCAGTGAGGCATCTGAGCTCGTTTATACAAATTTGAACCTGGGATATTACATTTCTAGCTTTCTTGCAGTAGAAGTCCAATTACCGAAGGGCTAACAAGTTTCACGCAATTAGTTTAAAGAACTATTAAGCTGGGTTAGGGATGGGGTGGGGGTTGGGTTTGGGGGAGTTGGGGCGAGGAGGTTGGGTTTGGGTGAGTTGATGTCGCTGTCAAGACAACACACAGAAACACTTTGGTTTCTGATTAATTTCTTTAATTTTTAATATCATTAACACACATGGTTTAGAGAAACGAATTAGTAAATCGGCTTCTTAAAAGGATTGTGTTTTAATCTTATTTTACTTAAACTTTCAGTTTTTTTCAATTTCTGAAATGCTTTTTAAAGAAAGTGCTTGCTCAAGAAATAAAAAGCAGCTACTAAAAGGAAATACTTGAGACGTAAGATAAGCTAGCAGCTCATTCAAATGCTTCGCTGAATACAAAACCCTGTCAAATTTGACCAGAAATGTATGAAAAAAGAGATTAAGAGGGCTTTCTCTTTAAAGGTTGAAAAAGAACCATATGGACAGGAAACCAAACAACAGTGCTTGCATAACACCAGGTTTAATGCCAACTGCTGCATTAATGCCAGCGGGTCCACTGATGTCTTTGACGCCATGACACTGGTCATTTCCAGTCGCCCCAGGGTCCCGATTATTTGCGCAGAAAGGATTGTAGTCAGCGAAGCCTAAGTCCAACAGTTCCCGGTCAGCAAAGGAAATGGTACAGTCAGAATCTATCAAATTCTTCAGACACTTCTTCTTCTTGGCTTGCTCCCTGAAAAGAATGAAGGTTAACAAAATCGTACTCCGTGCGTCTGTTTCCCTCGTTGTTCAATTTTGGATCTGAGACTGCACTGATTTCTATCTGTTTCGATTATAGAGCTCTTAACGCGACTTGATCTTTGACGTTTTCCCGCGCGCGTGTATAAGACAGTTCACTGGGTCTACATTAAGTATTTTCTCAAATTGGCCTTTAATTCTTTTATTGGTGGTAGTCATATATTTTTTTCTTTTTTTTTGTTCTTATAATACTTAGCCAAGAAGTGTTCTCACTTGTCCTTCTTTTCTTCCAATTTTTTTTCGGACTTATTTGCAGAGCGTTAAATTAAAAAAATATGGTGGATTTAAATGATGAAGTCAGACTTTTTTAACACACTTGGATATGAGAAAGAACTGGGAATAATGTTTCCATTCTTGTCTAAAAAGATTTTTTATATTTTCTCGCCTGTTCCCAAATTTGATTTGATTTCTCAATTTCAAAAGGGTAATCAATTATTTTTTCCCCTTGCCCTCAAGACAAGAGAGTAACATTTTTCTTTGTTCAATAGCCACGCCCTGATTTATAATCCCTATTAGTTTCTAAATGTAAATTTACTCAATGATGTCGTGCGTATATTCAGAAAATGATCACTGAAGTAGTACACGAGGCGCAGCTGTGTTTCAAAAATGTTTTGACCACATTTTGACGCGTTCTGTGGTCTTTTACTGAGTAAACCCGCGGCATCATGGAGTCTGTTTGTTTTATATCATAAAAAGGCAAAGTTATTAAGAGTAACCTCATCTATGCGTTTACATCAAAAGTGAGAGCCAATCAGAATGCCTATACGATTCAGCTTAGAGAATTAAAAACAAGTAGTCTCACAACTCACGCGCAAAGAGAGGAATTCGATTTGTCCCCGACGAATATCTTCCGGAACGTTTTCCCGCAAGCGTTTGCTTCAGACGCGAAAGAGCTTGAGCAAGGCAGTCCTGCCGAAGACTCTATTTGAGCGGGGCCTTCAGAACATTCTGTGCTGTGAAAATTCTTGTCTACAATTCTTCTGATGCTGCTGTCTGTGAGCGAGTCAGCGCAGTACTTGGTCACCTTGAACACACAGTCTTTCATTTGGTTGAACTTAGCACTGGAATGAAAACAAGAAAGCTATGGAGTTAGAGCAATTTTTGAGTAAGAGTCTATGGTTATCCATGAATAAAACAGGCGACCTGACAGGTACCGCAGTATTGCGTCACAGTTGGATAGGTCGCCGTTGAAAACATCTCAAAAGTTTAAAGCCCGTTAAGTGAACTTACAGACAATTTCCTTTGGGATCCTTTTGCAGCCCTTTGTAGAAAAATGTGCCGCATTTTCGAGCAGCGCAGAAGTACTCCATGAAAGTACATTGGCCAACGTTAGGGAGCGCTTCGTGACTTCCAACGAGAAATGCTGTCAAAGAATGATTAATGGTAGTCAAGAAATCAGTCAGCCATTCACAATTATTTTAGCAACTTGCTGCTCGAGTTTTTCTCTAAGACCTACTTGAAGTCTTTCAAGTTTGGGCAAGACCTGTATCTTTGTGCTATTGCTGATCAACGACACAAGGTTACATAAAGTTTCATAATAGTTTTAATTTTACTTTCTATGTACTTGATCTCTTTAGGCGTTTTCTCGTTTCGATGACTCCAAGAAATCAGTCAGCCGTTCACTATAAATAATTTTAATGAATGTCAAGTAAGTAATAAGAATATAACGCTAGATTGTTATCAAACAAACATTTTAGAGATTGAAAGCATCAGGGGGGAAGGGGTGGGGGAACTGATCGTTGAGGAGATTACAGTCTTTGAAGTGGTCCTCCTGTCTCGTGTTCTTCTGAGGATCAGTTTAGCTAACATCCTGTAAGACAATTTTTCTAGCAAGCAATTGCCTTCATATGTATTGTCAAAATCGGTCACGAAAACAATGAACAATTTTGAGATTGAAATGATATTTAGAACTTGTGCTAAGAAATATGCAGAATCCAATTTATGTTTGAGTGGAAGTACGTGTTTTGCTTGGGTTGCGATGAACCGTCCAAACTCCCTTTCCCCCTCCTTCGTCATTTTCCAAGACGCTTCGCCGCTTCTGAGGAGTAATTTTACTCGTTAAACTACGTTACTGACCAAGCATGCGGTTAAGCACAAAATATTTGCCAATGAGCCGTAACAATGTGGACTTTATCCCACGGATCGTTTTTTGTTGAAGTTAGCGTCAATATCCGATTTGAAAGGTATGTTTGTAATAGCGAAGGACGGGTCATGAAGCTAACAGCACATTTTGCACGCGTATCAAAGTACTAAAAGAAAAACGAAGATTCTGTTCAAATAAAGCACTCAAAGCTTTTTTGCGTTTGGCGAAATAACACAATGCATTAAATAATTTTTCAAAGAGAAACTCACGTCTTCTTGCACGACCAAAAATGGATCACGGACACAATAGAACAATAGACAAAGACTGCAAAGAGGCATGATTCTGTATGATAAGAAGAAAATATACGTTTATGCCGCAGCTACTTTGGAAGTTTTGCGTAGGGTCTTAAGAAGTAATTCTACTCTTTACGCGTCACTGACCAAGCATGCGGAATGGTACAGGATAATTGCAGAGATCACGTACTCTACATATTGCACCACGCGGATCTGCGATTTCAGGTCCGTGGTTAATATCAAAACGGAAGCTATCCTCGGAACACAAAAGACAGACAAAAATTTAAATTATAATTTGTTTAACCTATCACTAGAAGAGAACTATGATGCAAATCAAACCCCTCAAACAGGTTGTTAATGATTATGTAATAACTTTATATACATTTTTGTTTAATCGCCCAGTTACAGTAAAGTTTGCGAATCCTAGCTCCATTTTCTGCTTTTAAAAGCGCACACGGTAAATATCCACCACTAACCACCTCCTCACTACAAACATAAAATATTTCACTTCACCATCATTTCTGTACTTTAGCAGAGCACCGATTGCCTTGTAGTTATGGAGTATGAAGTTTACTACCTCGTTGAAGAATATTAATATTTAATAATTCCAAATCTTTCTCAGTTGTACAAACAGGATAAAAATTGCCTACCCCATTTCTGGGATCAGTATAAATACGCATCACTCCTCTTCTAAGCTATACAGCTGACGATTTATCACACAGCAGCTTAAAATCGTAGCATCACTTTCATCAAAGGACAATTAGCTTTGAATCTGCTGCGTGTACACTACGGAAAAGCGCTAGCTCGGGTCATAGATATGAAAAGATGCTTGCCGGCGTAAAAGCATTTAGTACTGAAAGAAAGCACTGAGTATTGTAGTATGGTTCACGCCTTAATCTTTCCGCTTAATTCTCGCACCGACCCGATGCAGAAAGAGTATTTCTCTCACTTAACTTGTGTCGTATATTGGCAAGTTCGCTAACATGTAAGTCTGGGACAAACACAATTAAATGGTCTTAGCTTGAAGAGTTCAAAGAATTGTAACAGAGAGATGAGTTCAAGCAAATGTCATAAGATTGCAAAGAATATTACCTAAAGAGATTGGAATTGTAACCAACAAAAAACTGAGAATAGAAGGTGAAAGGAAATTAAAGTCAATTTACTGAAGGTGTCCTCAAATTGGTTCCGTAACTTAGGAACCAAAGGCTCTGCGAAGTAACTTCGTGAAAAGGAGCCAAACTGCTCGGAAGAAAAATAAAATAAGAAGATCATGCCTCCGAAACGAGAGTAAAGGACATCACCTCTATGTGGGAATTGAATAGTTAATTTTTTTATCTACGTGTTCGGTTAAGTTCGCTAAGTTAACTTTAGAACGTATTTACCTTAGGATAATACATACAAGTTGGGAAGAGAAAGATGAACTTACCCACGGCTACGACAAGAAACAAAGTGAAACGCACAGAGATCTGCATCTTCGCTACACCTTTGCAAATGAACTGTTTAGGTGTAACCTAGGTCTTTTTATTTAAAGAATTTCCTTTATTGATTTGTTATTGATTATCCGCGGTTTTTCAAGGTGACGTCAGCTGACGTTTGTTCTTCAGCCGCTGGAAATGAAGAAGCGGTGAAGCGTTTTAAATACAATCAATCTTACAATGTTGTGTGTTCTCACATCAACTTTTCACGGGTCACAGGCTATGGATGCAGTCGCTCTAAAGAACGTCACATTTTGTTGCGCTACGTAAGACTCTTGATGAAACTGATTTGTGAACACATCAACAGACTGAACATTTTGCCAAGCCAGTTTATGTTGTGATTTCGATAACTTTCACCCCAACACATGTTAGGACTAGTCTCCCTTCCTTAGTTTTCTTTTCTGAGTGGAAAACGTAAGCCCCCTCCCCTGCCTCTATGCTCTAGCCCATCCCCACCCCAAACTTCTGTCGCAAAGCCAAACAACCAACGTTTCGCTTAAAGGGTGGTAACGCGTAAATATGTTTGGCCTAAAAGATGGTCTCATACTATTTTCAATAATCTTTTTAACGGGATTTCGTCAGGTGAAACAACATGTTGCAAGACTATTTCTATTTTAGCGTACTGATCTGCTCTTGAGTCATTACACAACGTGCTTGCAAGACTGGTTCTATTTTTAGTGTATTGATCTCATCATGAGTCGTTTCATCAGAATCGGCGGTATTGTGAAATTATTCGTTTGTTAAAAGCTGCCTTACCTCCAAGTGCATCGTAAAAAATTGATCACAGAAATATTGGACAATGTTAAGGTTGCACAAATGTTTGCTTTTGCAAAAAAAAGACTATGCAGCCAGCATTACGGAAAGTTTGAGTAGAAGAAGGTGTTTGACCGGATGTACGAACTCCTATTTCCTTCCTTCCCTTTATCCCTTTATCGCGCTGAAAAGCTTTCGCTCCTTCTGAGACACAATATCGGCCAGCATGTTCTACATCATGCGGGTCGATTGCTCTCATGTCCGTGATTGGCCTCTGAGAAGTAATTTTACTCGTTAAACTATGTTATTGATCAAGCATGCGGTAAAGTACAGAATATTTGCCAATGAACCGTAACAATGTGGACTATACCAAGCGGTTCGTTTCTTGTTGAGGTTAGTGTCAACATCAGATTTGAAAGGTATGTCGGTAACATTGAAATACAAGTGACAAAGCTGAAAGCACATTTTTGCACGTGTATCGAAGTACTAGAAAAATATCGAACATTTTATACAAATAAAGTACTCAAAAGGAGTAACCGTGATTTTGCGCCTGTTCAAATAAAAAAAAAATTTGGTGATGTAGAACAATTCTTCAGAGAGATGCTCGTGCGTTCTTGCATCGCCAAAAATGGATCGAGGACATAATAGATGAAGATTGCAAAGAGGTGTGATTCCATATATGAAGAAAAATAAATTAGATATATACATTAGGTAGCGATTTGATCGCTACCGATCGCTACAGATTTAAATCTGTCTGATGAGTGCGTAAGTACGAAACTCCGAGTAACAGAAACCACGTGTCGTCTTGTTTGATCGCTACCTACTGTATGTAATAAGCTCTGCACTTGTGTATTGAGCGCTATTCAACGGTATCGGCTACTTCCTCACATGGAAAAGATGCGACCTGTGTCAGAATTTCTTTGTTGAATCCAAGTCTTTTCTCAGCTTTCAGACGGGCAAAGGATACGCCATTAATTCTAGACTTTCATGTGACTCTAAAGATGTGATTTACTTGGCTTCTTGCAAGAAATGTCGCCTGCAATAGGTGGGATCTACTACTACCGACTTTAAAGTTAGGTTTTGAAATCACAAATCTGCTATGATCACAAACAAAACAACTTGTAAGGTAGCGATACACTTCAGCAGAACCCCACACACCTTAGGTGAGTTTTCGTTCCTATGTATTGATCAGGTACAGGCCCAAAGTGGCTCTAAAGAGATCGATAGGCTTTTAATCACAAAAGAGGCTTGTTGGAGTGCCCACCTGTTCTCTCTGGCACCTCATGGGTTGAATAAAAGAAAGGAATTTTATTCTAAAAACAGAATTTGTTCTAATTAATTAATTTTCTATCTTGTATTATGCGTTATTAATTAATCGTTCAAAGGCCCTTTTCTTAGATTTTGTCAACTTCAGTTTTAGGTGTTGATTAGACTCAGAGGTCCTGCTAAGCGATCTTATAATGTTTAGTATCATTTAAGGGCTCCTTTAAGGATTTTGTTGCTAATTTGCCCTTCCGGGCTCCAAAGGCCTTGTTTTGGGATTTTGTTACGATTTACAGTTGTAGTTAATGCTCTTCTAATGCTTGCCGCATTGCTTCTTCGGTTGCGCCCCTCATTTTAGCATATTTAGTTTTCCTTTTTTTCTTTTTTTTTTTTTTTCTTGTTTTGAGGATTTTGTCGCTTGTGTTTTATCCATTGTTTTCTTTGTAGCTCGGTTTTTTGTCATCTTTTTATTAGCACAGTTCATTAGCCGTTACATGTAATTACGTAATCACTAGCACTTCGTTCCTAGTTAAAGCTATTTTTTTAAAAAGTTGTAAATAACTGAAGGTCTTTGACCGAAACGTTTTTATTAAATTTTTTTATTTTTTTTACGTCAGAAGTTGTCCATCCTCGCATTTGTTTTAAACTTTATATGTTCGTGTTTGCTGTGAGGTTTGACTGTGAATCTTTATTGATCCTCCTGGCGCGGTGCACCTTGTTGGCCTGAAAGTTCTACTAACGACTTATTTATCTATATATATATATATAACCGCAGACAGGGTGCACACTGTTTCGACCTATGTGGGTCTCGTCAGTGCAGTGCAGACACTGGGCCAAGCTCTGGAATAAACCATTGCCTGGGCGCTACACTTGTGGGACCAAGTGTAGGCATGTTGCCATGCGAGAGTGCTCAAATCACAACTAAAGTGATGAGCTTCGCCCGAAGGCTAAGTGCATGGCAACCCCAGTGTAAAGTGCTCAATCGCAAGGTAGCCAAAAGGCAAAGCCAAGCGAGAGCTATCTATCTATATATATATATATAATATATACTGCAGCTTTCTTAGAAAGTTTGCGTAGAGGTCTTAAGAAGTCATTCTACTCTTTGCCCGTCACTGACCAAGCATGCGGAAGTAATGCAGGATAATTGCAGAGATCACGCACTTTACATACACTACATGTACACCACACGTATCCGCCCTCTCAGGTGCGTGATTGATATCAAAATCGAAAGGTATCCTCGGAACACAAAAGACAAAGCTGATAAAAATTCAAATTACAACTTGTTTATCCTATCACTAGAAGAGAACTACATATACGATGCAAATCAAACTCCTCAAACAGGCTGTCCATGATGATGAAATAACTACATTTATGTTTTTATTTGATCGCCCAGTTACAATAAGGATTGCTAATCTTAGTAGTGCACAGGACATGTGGCAATGCAACCACAAACATACAATATTTTACTTCGCCATCACTTCTGTACTTTGAGAGAGCATCGATTTGCTTGTAGTTATGGAGTGTTAAGTTTAAAACCTCGTGGAAGAATATTTAGTGATATAAAATATTTCTTGGTCGCAGAAACAGGATAAGAAATGCCCACCTTATTTCTGGGATCAGTATAAATACGCATCACTTCTCTCCCACGCTATACAGTTGACGCTTTATCTGCATAGCAGCTCAAAAAATATAGCATCACGAGTGGCTTTGAACCCGTTGCACTTGCATTATCGAAAAGCGCTAGCTCGAGTCCTCATATGAAAAGATGCTTGCTAGCGTAAAAGGATTAAGCGCAGAGAAAGCAGTATTTCAATATAGTTCAGTTCAAATTGGTTCTGTAACTTGGGAACCAAAGGCTCTGCTAAGAAACTTCGTAAAAAGGAGCAAAACTACTCGGAGGAAGAAGAAAATAAGAAGACTCGAAACCAAACAACCACGTTTCGCTTTCGGAACGCTAACACGGAAATCAGTTTGGCGAAATAAATAGTCTCATGCTATTTTCAAAAATCGCATCTTTTTATAAGGATTTCGTTGGATGAAACAATATTTTGCAAGACTATTTCTATATTTAGTCTATTGATCTCCTTCTGAGTCATTGCACAACATGTTGCAAGATTGATTCTATTTTTAGAGCATTGGTCTCATCATGAGTCGTTTCATCAGGATCGTCGATGTTATGAAAATATTCTTTTGTAAACAGCTACCTTACCTTCTTGTGCTCTGTAAAAAAATTGATCACAGAAATACTGGACAATGTTCAGGTTGCAAAGATGTTTGCTTTTAAGAAAAACTATGCAGCAATCATTACGGAAAGTTTGAATAGAAGAAGGTGTTTGACTTGATATTCGAACCCCAACCTCCTTCCTTTCCTTCGTCACGGTTAAGCGCTTTGCTGCTTCTGTGACGCAATGCCACTCATTGAATCATGTTATTGACCAAGCATATCATTAAAGTACAGAATATTTGCTAACGGGCTGTACATCGTGCGAATCGATCGCTCTTATGTCCGTGATTCATGGTGATACCAGCCCAGAAAGATAAGACACGAAGGGTATATTCGAGAAAGCAAAAACAAAAAAACCATAAAGCTAAAAGTTCAATCGATATATTTGCATCTCATTACAGGAATAAAGCTGACTATACAATACAAAGTAAACCCCCTCAAAAATCTTTCAATAATAAATCACTATTGAGACAACGAGACAACGAGACAACGAGACAACGCCCCAGGTCAAGCAAGCAGATGTACCCGTGAATGATATTAAGGACTCCAAAGAGAAAGTTAAGAGTGATTGAAAAAAGTGAGCCCTAAGGAGGAGGAAATGGATGAAGAGAAAGAGAATGACATTTCTAAGCAATTACTTGGCATGATGGTCGACGAGCTCTTCGCGCGCTGGGTGAATTCAAAACATGCGGACATGGTATAGGATAATTGCAGAGATCCCGTGCTCTATATATTACACCACACGGATCCGCTCTTTCAGGTTCGTGACTGATATCAAAATCGAAAGGTATCCTCGGAACACAAACGACAGACACAAAAATTTCAATTACAACGTGTTCATCCTATTACTATAAGAGAACTAGACATACGATGCAAATCAAAATCCTTCAACAGGCTGTCCATGATGATGAACAATGCCAAGCCAGTTTTATGTTGAGTTTTCGATAATTTTTACCCCAACACATGTTAGGAGTAGGCTTCCCTCCCTGGTTTTCTTTTCTTTGTGGGTAAGAAGCCCCACATACTGTCTTTCCTCACCACCCCTTCCCACCCTCTATCGCAAAACCAAACAACCACGGTTCGCTTACGGAGTGCTAACGCAGAAATCGGTTTGGCGCGACAAGTAGTCTCATGCTATTTTTAATAATCGTATCTTTTCATTGGGATCTCGTCAGGTGAATCAATATGTTGCAAGACTATTTCTATATTCAGTGTATTGATCTGCAGCTCCTGAGTCACTGCACAACATGTTGCAAGACTGATTCTACTTTTAACGAGTTGATCTCATCATGAGTCGTTTCATCAGGATCCCCGGTATTGTGAAATCATTCTTTTGTAAAACAGCAGCTTTGCCTTCTTGTGCACCGTAAAAAATTGACCACATAAATATTAGACAATGTTAAGGTTGCAAAGATGTTTGCTTTTGCCAAAAAAAAACTATGCAGCAGTCATTACAGAAAGTTTTAGTGGAAGTAAGGTTTTTTACTTGATTTACGAACTCCTACTTCCTTCCTTTCCTTCGTCACGGTTAAACGCTTTCGCTGCTTCTGAGACACAATACCACTCATTGAATTATGTTATTGACCAAGCACATGGTCGAGGTACAAAATATTGGCCAACTTACTCTACATCATGCGAATCGATCGCTCTCATGTCCGTGATTTATAGTGATATCAACCCAGAAATATCAGACTCGAAATTTATATTCGAAAAAGTAAAAGACTGACAATTAAGCTAAAAGTTCACTGGATGTATATATTTGTATATCATTACTACAACAAAAATGAATATACAAAACAAATTAAACTCCTCAATAATCTTACAATAACAAATTTGCTAATCCTAGTAGTGTGGAGGACATTTACAACCCACAAACCTAAAATATTTCCCTTTCTCACCAGTTTACAACCCACAAACCTACAAACCTATGAGTTGTGCCGTATTTTGACGAGCCCGTAGGGCGAGTCAAAATACAAATAACGAGTAAAAATACTCAGCGATACTACACAACAAAACGTCTAATAAGTTATTTATTATCCAACACGCCAAACTTATTTCAGTGCGGGCGAATTTCGCGGATATTTATTTACGGGGAGTGCGTGACAGAAGTATCCGAAGCGCAACGGAATTGGCGCGTTGTCGTGTTGCTGTTTCTTTTTTCTTCAATAAATGAAGAAATTTCCAGGTCGTCTAGCTGTTTTTCTTCGTTCGATTCATCTATTAAACTTGGATGTATACTTGCCAGCCATTCTCACTCTTCGTCATTAGAAATATGACTCAAATTGTCCGCCATTTTTTTTCGCAACTACAATTCAAGACATTCAACTCTTCGCTTGCGCGATGCGAGAAAACCTGTTTAACCGGTACTCTACAGTACAATTACCGCGTCATATTTGTACTCGTCTATGGCGTTATTTATACTCTACGAAATGTGGTTGGATAATAATCAGCCATACTACACAACAAAATGTTTCATAAGAGATTTATAATCCAACATGCCAAATTGTCATTTCAGTGTGGGCGAATTTCGCCGATATTTCTGGAGTACAAATATCGCGTGGTATTTGTACTCGCCTCGTGCGTTATTTGTACTCCTGAAGGGACCAAGTGCACAGAAAGTAAAATTACACAGCAGCCGGCCAACGCCTTAATCTTCTCGTTCGATTCAAACTATTATCAAGCTACATATAACAAATGCTTCTCTCGCCATGTGTCGCTGATCAGCAAGAACGTCAAGATACAGGTATTGCCATAACTCGAAAGACTTCAAAAAGGTTTTCGAGAAAAACTCAAGGAGCAAGTTACTAGAATTGTTACCCAAAGCGATAAGAACTGCATCGAACGTAGTGACAAACAAAGGGGTTAAAATCTAGTCAGGGTGTCATTATATTGGATCCGTAGCTTAGGATCCATAAAATCGCGACAGAACAATGCGAAAGCATGCAAAATTACCAGAGGGTTTAAGGAAAATAACAAGACGAAGCCTCCGAAACGAGACTAAATGAAATCAACCCCACGTGGGAATTGAATAATCAATTCTTGCATCCGCGTGGATATCCTGTTCTGGAGTACCTTGCAAACAATCATATTTTTCGTGTTCTATAAACGGCCCCAGGCTAGTACATGGAGGGAAAGTAGTAAAAAGTAAACTTACCCATGGCCACGGCGAGAATCAAAGTGAAACGCACAGAGATCTGCATATTCACTGCTCCTTTGCAAATGATATGTCGAGAGTATAAGATAGCTTCTATTATAAAGCACACAATTTCGCTCTATACTATTATTAAGTTACTGTAAGTAAATTATGTAACATATTGAAAGGAGTGTAATATGTCGTTACGTAATGTAAATGTAGAGTATCGTGTAGATAGTGGAAGTAATCGATAGTAAGTCATCTGCTTTAATCAAGTTTATTGTAAACTATACTTTGTTTGTGGTGTGTTCTCAGTAAACTATTGTAAGCAACGTACTGTAACTGAGTCCTGTAGTGTATTGTAAGTAGAGTAATGTTTTGTAAAATGCCAAAAAAAATAAAGAAATTACAAAAAAAAAAAAATAAATAAGATAGCTTCTATATTATAATTATTCAAACCATTTCCTTTACTGAATTTTTCTGCCTTTTCTTTATGACGTCAGCTAAGGTTTGTTTTCCCCAGCCCCGTACATGCAGAAGAAGCGAAGCGTTTAAAAAGGAATCGATTTCGGGGGCCTGACTCCATGAACCGGGCTGGCTCAGTTTTGTCAGGGTTCTGAAGAGATCTCGGCACTTTTGATTGACGCAAAAAAAAAAAAAAAAACCAAAATATATCAACTTTGTGATAACTTGGCAACCAGGCTGAAATTTTTCCATGTAATCGCGTTCGCCGGGCCAGCACCGAGTCAGCCTGGTTCATAAAGCCAGCGAGAGTTCAGCGATTAATACACTGCCTATGCACATTGGTTCCAATATCATGCAGACATGGTAGAATGGTCAACGACCTCTTCGAGAAGCGGGTGAATTCAAAACTAAAACGGAGTATGGCAACGTTGTCTTCAATGCTGATAAAAACGAACCATATGAAGCAGTAGTAGAGGCGATTTAATCTTCTGTCACTGTTCACTTGTTTGGGTGCTTGTGTGGGTGAGCGGTCACCTCGTCAGTGCCAAAATCGAGCTTGCTCCTGATTACACAAAGACAGTTCTGGATTGGCTAGCTTTACTGGGCTGATAAATCGGTCCAGTTCTCTGTGTTCCTGGAATTAATTTGTTACAATGCACATGAAGGTATTTGTTCCAAAAATAGTCTAAGATTATTTCTGGCAACGTACGACTCTTGTTTAAAAAGCTTGTGGAGGCAAATTTTACCAAGCCAGTTTCATGATACACTTTCGACGATTTTCAATCCAAAACATGAGGGGATTTTCATTAGTGGTAAAAAGGCCCCACCCACTGTCTTCCTGCTCTGTCCACATCTATCACAAAAAACCCGCGTTTTGCTTTGAGAGGCAGAAACTAGGATGAAAATTAACCCACTCTTTCGTTTGCGATTCTTCACAACTCGTGAATAAGGGATTAACCTTCCCCCAACCCCTGCATTGCTGCTGTGAAAAACCAAAAAGCCGTCTTCAAATTCAGTTAACTGGGTTGTGTTCGATATCTATGAGAATTAGGAATATTGAACTGTTTTAACTTTTTGCATTTCATTTCTTCCCTTACTTCTCTCTTGAGTAAAGAAAAATGTTTCTTGTTTTGACGAAGTCCAAAAATAAGGGTATTTCAAGGCCCAGTACCTCTGATGACCAACCAGTTCTGATCATAACTCTTACATGGGCGGTGAAAGCCATCACTTTACTTCAAAAAACAGTAGTAAAATTTTTGGGCAACTAATTTCTTTACTCCAGCTGCAGTAAAATTTACATCTAATCAACCGCTTTTTAGTCTGTTTCATCAAATACCATAAACCACATCTTTGTTTAATCAAATTAGACATAACTTCAAATTTACACCTGAACGAGGAGAGAATCCTCAAATACCGCAAGGTGAGCCCTTTTTTAGGAATTTTTTTTTCCAGCCATATTTGGATTATTCTGGAGTATACGCAGCAGTTGATGATGAACATCAAGAGCGCATGTAGTCGAACTTTTGGACTAAAGAAATCGGGGAAAAAACTTGATACTATTGCATCTGAGGTGCCTCAGTTGCAACCATTAGCTTGACATCATCTCTCAGATGAGTGGCCATGAGTATGCTGAGGCTGTTCTCAACCTTAAACTGTACCCACAATTGAGCCTCAGGCTACAAGTGGTCAGAAATAAACTGTATTACTATATACTGTCCATTACATCAACAATGTATCAGATCCGATTTGCTTCGTTACCTTGTTAAAATATCAAATGGCCTGAGAGCTCTTGGAAAGATCGATCCAAGTTACTGGTCTTCTACTGCGTTATAGGTATGTGTTGGTGGTAAAATGATTATTTGATCCCCTGAAAGCTGATGTACATCGAAAGGACATCTTTGATGTCATTGATCCTAAAAGTGTGCGAAATTTTAACTTAAAAGTCAAAAGAAAGAAAATCGTAAAGGTGCGCAAGATATCAGCGTAATAATCCAATGAAAGATAATTGTAAAACTGACTACCCAAGAGGCTAACCTAACTTCTATCAACCTCGAAAAAGGAAACATCTATTAAGACCCTCTAAAGAAGCCAAAACCTTAATGATCAAATGAACCAATGATAGCGAAGAAAATATCCCAACGAGGCAATGAGAGCTCAAAACGAATCAGGTTGAGTGCCATAAACATGTCAAAAGTGGAAAAACGTGTCTGACGATCAAGTGCCAATATATCGATGGTTGGTGAGGAAAAGCAAAACCAGCACAATCCATCGGATTTATGTTGAGAAGACAGCTTGCCAGAAATTATGTCAAAATTTGGATTTCTTTCTTTGACCTAAAGCGTTCATGAGTTTGCTTTTGAAAACGATCCCCTGTACTTTTTACGTAATGCATGATTGAGTGACTTTTTTTTCGTGAATCGTGATTTGGTTTTTACTTTACTCGTTAATCGTGGTTAAAAGTCATTAGTTCTTTTCATGTCCACATGAACTAATTTCTTTTTATTTTTTTTTATTTAAACGTGATTCGGGAATAAAAAGCTGAATCAAACGTGATTTGTGGACCATTTTGTTCTGCGCGATGAATTCCCAGTTTTTTAATTGTTTGAAATCGTACGCATTGTTCTCGATCGGCTGTGGTCAGGTTTTGACCAGGGCTTCGACAGGACATAGACTTCATATGGATTGATAAAAGTCATAAAACAGACCACGAATGTTATGGTCCTTGAACAAACGAGATAAGATATTATGTCATCTTTTTACACTTGTGACTGGTCAAGATTAGAAAAAAGTGAAAATATCAATTCGTAAATTTGGCTTTTTATCTCTATGTGGAAAGTAATCGTCTCAATTTTTTTTCAACGTGGAAGAATTTTGGACATTATTCGTGATGCGTGTAAAGTCCAAATATTCTTGCGAAACTGAGTTCTACAAAGGAGTATTAGTGACCCTCCTTGAAGGTAAGAATTACACGGCCTCAAGTTATTAGACGTGTTCGCAGTACATCACTTTACAGTAATATCTTGAGTCTAGAAAAAAGAAGTTAAAAAAAATTGCATTTTTTTAAAAAAACATTCGAACGATCCCTAGTCCAGTAAAAGGCACTCACCACAAGGAAAAAAACCATGGCACATGTTCTTGAGCATCATCGATGCAGAGATGCATGCATGAGGCAGTCTTTGCTTATTGATCCGTGAGTTCTTAGAAAGAAGCCAAATTTCTCGGAAACTTCTCCGCGCCCCTAACAAGGGCATCCAGATTAATTTACCATTGGCGTATTGGTTCACTTCTGAGGAGGGGAATTCCCCGAGACTTTATGATAATGAAGTAACGGTCCATTATGGCGGCGAAGAGATGGAGAAACTTTTTCAGATGTCTAATTGTTATCACAGTGGTTGGGTTGATAATTATTAAAAATGTTCTTCTTTATTATTACTTCTACAATCACTACAATTGCAAGAAGGCGATCGTTAGGCATTTTCTTGTCGCAGTTTACATCCCTTCTGTTATAGTTGTTGCCTGCCCCATCTGTTCGAAACCGCAAGAACGGTGCTCTTTCAAGGAATATCATTAAATGTTTGCATGGTTATTATACATTCTGCCAACGATCTTGCAGTTTGTCTGGATCTTGAGCACATTTGCTGATAAAATTGACACGACGTCGATGTTTGGACTGAGATTTCTTAAAATCATTCTTTGCCTTCCGGCTTTTGCTGGACACGATAGAATATGTTGCAAAGCCTTTTGCTGTTTTTTTTCTGGACACGATAGAATATGTTGCAAAGCCGGGCTGATCTAAACGTGGAATGGTGGCGTGTCTTTGATCTCTTCGATACGGTGGAACTACTTCAAATCTTGATCGCCGATAAATCGAAGTCCCTGCGCATGTCAGGAAATACAAATATCCATCTTAGTCTTTGGATCGATATGCCTCTTTTTCCCAATGTTTCCACTCTGGGAACTACACGCCTTTCGAGATGAACCATGCACCCCTGCTAGTACAACTTATAATCAAAACAAAAAGGAAAACAAAAAACACTACCAAAGACGAAAGGACTATACTGATTAAGAGAGTACGAGTCGTGTCTAAGGTACTTCAATTGCTGTTCGTAAACCTAGCTTTCTTAGCTCTTAGGATTGCTTTTTTTATTGAGTATAAACTTGATGCATCGGTATTTGTGACAAAGAATATCGTGGCTATCGTAGTCGGAGTCATAGAGATGGTCTCCTCCGCTATAAGGTGTCACAGCGTTCAAGTACACACCGACCCAGAAATTTGCGTGTCCCGCTGCAAACGCTGTTGGGAATGCGAGAAGTCGAGTCTGCGTTCTGCAACTAACCAGGTGGAAATCACAGTGTTAGAAGAAACATAAAAGGAATCATCCGAGGAGGAGGCCTGGCCGTCATAGCGTCGATCTGATGAATCATCGATCGAGATCCACGGATTCTCTGGAGACAGATTGCACTATTTTGCCAAATTCACGGATATGAGATAGGAACAAACGACACGACGAAGTGCAAAATATTTTTTTAAAGCAAAAGCCTTTGCCGAGAATGCTCTTTTTCTTTTATACCAATTGCATGTGTTAGCATTCGTGGCAATCACCTATCTCCTTTTTGGTGTTCTTTGTTATTATTTATTTGTTTTGTTTTGATTTGTAATCTTTTTTCGTGAAATTTAGCTTCATTTTTACTTC